GAAGGTCGCCGAATTTACGTTCGTTCCAAGAACCAGTACGAGTGTAGCGGATCACAATCCGCTACCTCAAAATACTAAAACCTTAACCAAGGCAAACGAACACTTTTATTTATATTTGAAACTGTATTTAATTGTTTTGATGCGGCAGAGCCGCTAATATCTAAGATCCTAGGTTTTCCTAACTAATAAAGTAAAAGCTAATTAATATAGCAAAAATTAATTAATATAGCAAAACCTAATTAATATAGTAATCTGCATTACTACTGGTAATTCTGCCACGGTAAAAAATTAAAGATAATTTAGATAGAAATTATTGGCGGCTTCTTGTTACGGTGTAGCCACACCATTGTGTGATTACATTAACTGGTGTAGTACACACCTATGTACGGTCGCACAAGATCGTGCGACCCGTCCTTTCTTACAACGGTACGTGTAACCCCGTTACACAATAGCAGGTAGAATACACACAAATCTGGTTTCTAGGACGTGATTAATCTACCTAGACAGGCAGTGTATAACATGGTTACACGTATCCTGGTATGAAGGGTGGGTCACACAAGATGGTGTGCTCACAAGATGGCGTGGCTACAACAAGAAGCCACTACGTGGCGGGACCCCCTTCGCATTTTGATACGTTTTACTTTTTAACTAGGAAATCTATAGATTGAGATATAGGCGGCTCTGCCGCAAATAAAACAAAACATACAGTTTGAAATTTAAACGGAAGTGTATATTTGCCTTATGCCTTATGCCTTATGCTAAGGTTGCGGGTACTCTTGGAGTTAGCGAATTGCAATCTTCTACACTCATACTGGTTCTGACATAGAATGAAAGATCGGTGACCTTAGCTTAGCTTTTTCTAAGCAAAAAGAAACGGCAACACCGCTGCACAGTGTCTGAGCTTTATAAGATTAAACTGCGACCGTGCTACGTCGGATCATCCGCAGGCATATTGAAGAAGAGATTAAGCTCTTACCATTTCGAAGAGAATGCGATTTCATCATGTAGGCTTACGGGCTTTTGAAGCTATATCGCGATTTCTGCTCCTACAGGTTAAAAGGACGTGAAGGGCTTTGTTGCAGACCGAGCAACGTCTCTACCATCCCTGTAGCTAAGCTACCATGCTCCCCAAGGCAGTAACGCGATTTTGAATACCTCCAGCCACGCAGTGCGATGGCAAAGCTCCGAAAATAAATCTGAGATTTGGGTTTAATCAGCCTCGATTGCATGCCGTGAATCTAGGAGATAGTCTGCGTGCTACAACAACCGAGAGAGCTCACAAGAGCCAGCCGCGGTATCGTCGACTTCGCCGGCACTGCTCAATGAGCAAGGGATTGATGGTTTCTAGATGATATGTTTGGTGATTCGGCAGGCTCACCAGAATTGCTACTGTTGTTGTTGAAGTTGAGAGGTTACTCTCAGTTAGAAAACGCGAAAGTTTGTGACTACACTTCTACAACATTGCCCAGGCGCCGCGGCTTCTTACGATCTGGC